TCACCTCCACCCGCTGTACTTGGGAGTAGATGGTGTGAACCGCGGTGTCCTCGGCAAGCGGCGAGTGCTCCTGCCCGGCTGCGGAGGGATAAGGAAATCACCAAATTGTGAGGGGAGCAGGGACCGGGGCCAGAAACTCAGGACTTCGCAAGCCAACATCCCTGCTCCAGCACCCCAAGGCACGGCAAGGGCGAGCCCGTGCTGGATCCATCCCCGGCACGGTGCCCGCCGGAGGGACCCAGCTGCATCCCTGTCGCTTGCGGCTGCCCGGCCGTGGTCGGAGGGTTTCTGGCTGCCACGGGTCAGCAAATTTGCAAATTTATCGCTACACGGGGAATGGAAAGGGGGGGGACACGGCACGGGTGAGGCACTCGGAGACATGATGCTCTCTGATTTGGGCTGGGATCATTTCGTTCCCCACGAGACGGTGCGGTATGAGCTCAGAAGCCCCTCATTGGGGTAAAGCGTTGGAGATCACGTGCAGGTACTTTTTTATTTTCTTTTTTATTCTTTTTACTTTTCCTTTTAAGCTGGTTTCCTTCCTGCCTTTTACTCTGTGCTTCAAAAGAAACACGTTGCGCCCCTTCTCGAGGGCCAGGGTACTCCGTAAACAAGGTGCTCACGGGAATCAGCCCCTCGGTCCATTCACCAGGGGCAACTCCTGTTTCCCCCCCAGCAAGGATCACCCCACCCACGGACCACCGACCACCCCAGCACCCCTCCTTTGCGGCACTCACCGATGGGCATGGCCGAATGGGTGGCCACGAAGACCCCGGTGAGCACCATCACTACGACGATGGGTACCACCACCAGCAGCACGAGATGCTCCATCCTCAGCCCGGCGCTGCCTGGGATGGGGGACAGAGAGGGGAGGGGGTCAGCTACCGGCCCTGGGGGCCCAGGACCAGCCAGAACTGAGCAGAATGGGCTGGTAAAGAAATCTTTCTTCACCTCATCGCCTATTTTTGGGGCGATGATTTTAGTAGAACAGGAAACAAGGGGCAGGAAATGCTTCTTGAGCAGAGCGCTCTCTGATCACCTCCAGACTGCACCAGTCAGCGAAAAACCTGCTGGAAGCCAGATCAGGGCAAGATAAAGCCCTAAAAACGGCTCCGGTGGCTTTACGGAGACCTACGGGGAGGCAGCAAAACGCCCTTGCATGGCAGGTGCCGGAGAAGGCGGCTCTGGGACGGAGCTTTGCAGCTCCAACCGGGCTGCCATGGTGGGGAGACACCCGGGGTGGCCCCGATCCTGGACCACTAACGGTGATACTGTGCAGGGATGTCCCACGGTGCAAGGGGGTTTGGAGGAGAAAAGAAAAAAAGCCCATACCCCTCCCTGGAGTGGCTCATTTCAGCATCTCCCTTGCCTAAGCAAGAATCCCAACTGGTTTTCCCATGGGGGTGTTTTGTCAGCACAGGTCACGGTGGGAGCTCCGGTAAAGGTGTGACTTCCCCTCCCGGTCCCCAGGGAAAGGGGCAGCCACCACGCTGCCCGGCCCCGGCAAAAGTCCCCCACGTCACGAGGGAGGGCTAGAAAATCCCACTGAGAGAGAGCATGACTTCTGCCCCATGAGCCTCTAAAGGGGAAGTTGTCACCAAGGTTTTTTTTTACCCTCCCCAAACCACCCGACGTAAGAATCTCATGGGTTTAAAATGAAGCCCGAGCACCGGGGCGCAGCGAGTGCGGTGGCCAGGCTGGCCGGGGAGACAAGTGGGACCCCACGGCTCCTCGGTCGGCATTTACGGGAAGGACTGGGGAACCCTGAGCAGGTGATGTCGCGACCGCTTTTCTTGTAAGAGGTTCCTTTGAGACTACTTAAAGCAGCGGGAAAAAGTCCCTCGCAAAGCAAGAGGAAGACCGAAAGGCTGGAGGGAGCTGGGTCGGTAACGGGGGACTTACCCCCGTGCTGGTAGCTGCACTCGGAGGTGTTGAAGGCGACGACCCGGCTGCTGACAGGGTTGCTGACCGTGCAGGCGCAGGCGATGCTCGCGTTGTGCAGAGGGTAGGAGAGGTGCAGGATGCTGCCGTTGTGGGTGCAGAGCCCGGAGTTTCTGTTGTCCCCCCTGCCCCATCTGTAGGAGACGTTGTCCCCTCGCTCGGCCGTGCAGTTGAGGGTGACGGTGCAGCTGCCGTTGGCCAGCGCCCAACTGAGGATCTGGATGCTGGGATGGGACACCGGCTCTGGAGAGAGGGAAGGAGGGGACAAAGGTTTGGGTGTGGGGAAGGATGCGACCGTTCCCTGGGAAATCCTGCCGGCCTCGCCTGAATCCCCGGGAGATGGAGAGGAACCGGTCTGGCAGCGGACCGGCTGCAAAGGGCGTTAGGGAGGGACACGTCTGCATCCACCCAGCGGCTCCTGGGGGGACCCACAACAATCTACCAACCCTC